TTCAGTATTTTTTATTCATTTTGCCATACAGGGCAGAGTTTAGAGGATGCCATATGTTTTCCATCACAGTTTACACATTTGAGTGTTTGCTGGCAATCAGTACTGTCATGGTTGTCACCACAACGTTGGCAAACAACGGAGCGAGTACATGATTTAGAGCCATGGCCAAAATGTTGACACCTAAAGCACCGGAGTGGATTGGGGACCTACACCTCCACTCCGATGTTGACGTAACCAGCTTTGATTGACTGAGGTAATGAAGATCTACAAAATGTGAATAGGTAGGTGTTAGTCTTTTCAATAGTTGAATCGTCCTTCTTTCTTGTGAAACGTTTCACAGAAGACACACCTTGATTTACCAATTCATCTGCTATTTCTTGTTCTGACATGTCGGACAAGGAACGAGTCCTGTCACGAACAATTCCTCTGCAAGAGTTGAGTGTACGGTGTTCAGTAACAACAACCTCAACATTGGCAAATGTACTTACTGATAATAGATTGAGGGATTGTTGTTTTCTGACACATTCAACAAGAAGGGAGCCAGAACGAAGTCGGGTCACATTTTTAACATCACCACAATAGCCATGGATTGCCTTAGAAATGGCAAAGGGATTAAGTTTGATAGGTTGATGATCTTTAGCTTCGATCACGAGGAATCGAGCCCAGGAATCAAAATTTGCAACAGCCTCATCAGATGAGCCTGATTCTAAATGTCGACGCTTTGAACCAGAATGATTGTGAGCCATGGTGAAATAAAAGTGTTTCATCATACCTGTTCCCCACCCACCATGGAGTGTCAACAAGGACAGTGTTGTAGCGCATCGGATTTCCAGCATGCAAACACCAGGGATACAGGGATGTTATACTCCAGCAAATATGACTTGAATAGCTATATTTATCTACCAGATGTAGTGCCAGGCAGGTTCAGTCCATGACAAGAAACTGGAGACATACAGAATACAGAGGTCAACATCACCAGATTGGCCCATGAGCCACCGCCTTCTGGCGTAAGACTCTAGGCAATTTATTCCATCAAAAATTGGTAATTCATACAAAGTATGCATGGCCAAGTCCAAAATATACATTATAATACAACACAGGAGTGCATATACAATATTACGCACAGGGCCTGGCATGACCAGCCGATTGATAAGACCGGGCCCATCTTACCACCCGTCTAGGCGAAGTAAGGGTCGAAGTAGTGTGTTGGGCAAAGGAACACAGTTCCAGGAACCAGTGCCCTCAACTACCAGACTCCCGTCCTCCGCCGACACAGGGACGCAACCCACGGCAAACAGGTTGCCCATTTTAGTCGCCTCATACGACAAGCAATGGGAGGCTGTGGAAATATTCTGCCCCGGTTCCACACGGGGGAAGAGCTATTCGCATTACCCAGCACTCACCACGAGGAGGTTGCTCTTCACGAGTGCCAAGATGAAGAGGAGTCTGATGACGAATAGTATCATTGAAGTCAACAGCATGATAACTGGACGTCACTGCGGTTTTATAGTGATGACTTATAATCTGGTAAATAAGTTTTAATACCGGAATATCAGATCCTCATAATGGTGGCATTAGAAATGGCAAATGGGTAATTTGGGTGTACCAAGATTAACCTGATCTATCGTTGTTCTTGATCCTTTATTTAGGGCAGAAGACCATATATTGTCTTTCAAGTTGCCCTGGTTATGTAGGCCATATTTGTTCATTGCCTGCATAAATTCATTACAAGTGGATGCAATTCTTTTGCATACTATCAGACCTTTGCACCCTTGTTGGACCCTTGACCCTTGAACCCAGGAAAAGATTACCAAAGGCCTACTTCGCAGTTTATCATATTATCATCCTGTATTCAAAATAACTTGGCTACAACATTTCCTCTGCATGTGTGGATTCGTATGGAAGTGCCATCTCGTGGTGAAAATCGTAACTTTTGAGACATATATGGGCTGAGAGCTAAAAATGCACATTATCTGCAGTGCTGTTGGCTAGCCTAACCTCAAGATATTGCTTCAAAAATGGTTTAAAAACTTACCTGGCATCTTATCTAATAAAACATATTCACTTTATGAAAATATTTGTTGTCTTTCCTACTAAACTGGGCTTGGATAAGAAAAAAGGCGGAATTATTAGCTCAAGGGTCGTCACGTGACCTTTGACCCCCTACTGACCTGTAAAAAGGTCAATTTGCATATTTCATGATTGGATCCAATGGAGCTTACCGCGATGTTCATTTTGACACCTAGATCTCTTTTATAGGTCCATTAATAAGAGTGCATTTCAATTTTGAAGTTGCCCTACCCCACTTTTTCGCCAGATAGTCCATACCGGCAAAATGAGAGAAAAGGGTTAATTCTGGCTAAATGCCCCGGCTGTGCCATTCAAGCAGTTCTGTTTTGGATACCCCATGGGATACCCCTTTCAGAAATACCAATGAAAGACTCTCTCATTTCATGCAGATAAATGACCCCTGGCTCCTGGACTATATCTTTATGCCCAAATATGTTTGTTACATTGTTTTTAAATATTACTCTGTATTTATGAATATATGGTCAACTTGGTCAATTTGGTCACCTTTTACATCGCATCGGCAGTACTATATTGCTGAAATAATGCAGATGCGACGTTAAAATTTAACTCACTCACAAGAATAGGTCTTCAGCAACCGATGCTAGTCGTAGCAGGTGACTATGGTTGTCGTGAGAGGCGACTAACGGGATCGGGTGGTCAGGCTCGCTGACTTGGTTGATGCATGTCATTGTAACCCAATTGTGTTGATCGATGGACATGATATAATGGGATTGTCTGGTCCAGACTCGATTATTTACAGACCGCTGTCCTTTTGATGGAATATTGCTGAGTGTGGCGTTAAGCACAACCAACAACATGCAATACAGTTATGAAAATAACATTGACGTCATCAAGCCAATATATAGCTACACTCTGAATCATAGTCAGATACGTGGTCTTGACGCCGAAACTGAAATATGATACCACTTCTCTCCATCGCTATGGCTTGCAATCTACCATTCAGGATTGTAAACTCGCTGTTTACTTACCCTGTGATCGCTGTTTATGAATAAGTTAGCGGTGGTAACTTGACTATATTTTTCAGTGAATGTGTGTACAATGTCGATCCTGTGTGTACAATGACGGATCGACTACAAGTCGCCCCTACGTGTGGGGGACAAGCACCTCAGTATTTACATTGTGCAAGGATGCTTCTTCTGATACAAGTCCAAGTAATTCAGCAACAAGCAGTTTGGTCTCTTGAAACAATACAGTTTTCACAGTGGTGTCATCTAGTCTGTATTAGGTTGGCAATATACTGAACCGCAAAAGAAACGTCACCATGGATAGATATATGGGAAACCTTATTTGTCCAAACACTGTAAACATACTTTGAGACATATTACAAAGATGAGAAGTAAAACACAACACTAATCTCTGAGAAAATGGCATAACAAGTGAGTATCTCGTGTGTCCGCCATGTGCATTGATGACTCGTGCAACGTCGATACATGGAACGGGTGAGGCGGTTGATGAAAGCCATAGGCACTTGAGCCCACACTCTGAGGACCGCCTGACGCAGTTCAGCTGCAGTTGTCTGCCTTGGTCGGACGTCATTCAGCCGTCTTTGAATCTCGTCCCACAGGGACTCAATGGGATTTAAATCGGCACTGAGGGCAGGCCACTGCATGGTTCTGATGCCACTCTGCTGGAGGAAGTCTCTTGTTGCTCTCGCAGTGTCGACACGGACAGCATCATGCTGAAACTCGTGGTTGCGGCGACGTGCCAAATGAGGTATGGCGTGAGGTCTCAAGACTTGATCAATGTACCGAGCTGCTTTGACACCTTTTCCTATCCCTGGACCGATGTTCTGGAAGACCACAGGGCCGACTCTCTGTGAAGACCAATTCTACCCCACACCATGATGCTCGGACAACCCCACGATTCTCTCTCAACAACAAAAGCATCCGAAGAGCGTGCCCCACGGCGTCGCCAGACTCTCTCTCTGCCATCTGCTGTCGAGATACAGTAACGGCTCTCGTCTGGGAAGAGGACTCTTCTCCACTGCTGGTGGCGTCATTGCTGGTGCTGTGTTGACCACTGAAGACGGTCCCGGCGAGGACCTGGTGTCAGAATGGGTCCTCGGTGTGGCCTGTGACAGTGGAGTGTCTGCTTCGTCAATCGTCGACGCACGGTGTCCGCACTAATGTGTCGCTGGTGTGTCCCCATGGTCTGTCGAGCAGTTTCCGCAGCAGTTACAAAGCGATCTTGAAGATGCTGTCGCACAATCTGATGATCCTGACGTCGGGTGGTGACCCTTGGTCTTCCACTACGTGGTCGGCCATCTGTAGTGTTGGTGGTCTGGTACCGTTGCTGGACCCTCTATATGTTACTACGTGGACTTGAAATGCATTGCCTACTTGCCGGGCGGTTTGTCCAGCTTGAAATCGTCAAAGGACTTGGTGTCGCTGATTTCTTGTCAATCTTGGCATGTTGTAGCAATTCAATAACGAACGAATATTATCCGATCTGGGTGGGGTTTTATAGGGCAAGAATAGGGGGAATGCATGTGCATTTCAATTTGCACGGAACACACGTGCATCGGGTTACCGATGCGTTTGGGCCATCGGTTTTTTCGTCATCTGTTTTTTTTTATCATCAAATTTCATTTCTTTCGGACAAGGTAATGTTAAATTTTAGAAACTTTGACAAAGATTACCCAGATATTTAAATGACAACTATTCATGCAATGTTACTTGGGGTGACGTTTCTTTTGCGGTTCAGTATATTTGTTAACACCAATGGAAACGGAGACCTAGACACGCATACATGCTCATATTACAGTTGCTATTCATAGACATTCTTGATCAGCGCCGCTAAAAAGCGGGTTTGTAAAGGGAGGACAAAATTAAAAGAATACCCATTCCAACAATAAACCCACCCTATTCTCTGCAATAGTTGTGTTTTTATTGAGACATTTCGTCTTTCAGGATAGTGTCTACTGTACAGAGTAGAAATGGAGGAAGACGAACGATATACACCAACTGGCCTTGAAAGAATGTTGCACAGGTACGTACAGACAAAATGGACCCGTGAAGATCCGGTTAAGAATAGGTCTTTCAGCAACCCATGCTTGTCATAAGAGGCGACTAACGGGATCGGTTGGTCAGGCTTGTTGACTTGCATGTCATCGTATCCCAGTTGTGTACATCGATGTTTATTGTGTCAATCACTGGATTGTCTGGTCGAGACACGATTATTTACAGACCGCTGTCATATAGATGGAACATTGACGAGGGCGGCATTAAACAACAAACATAACTAAAACGTATAAACTTCGAGATGTTTTGTTTATAAACTTATGAACAACAGTATCGCGGCCATGTGACCGACCTCTCATCCACTGGAAGCCACATATCATGTAAACGTTACTTTTGAAAAATATAACTAATTGTGGTACTAAGAAAATGGTTTTGCTGATTTCACTGATACTTCCATTGAGACAGGCAGTGTGCGTGTTTTGACTAAAATCCATTCCGTTTTCAAAGTATTTGCATAGTGATAATTATTAATCACTAGAATCCTTGCTTTAATTATTCAGCTAGTGGTGTATCCTTTTGTTATATGGACCTCTTTCTCTTCTCTCTCAAAACTCCCGTTCGCCCCGATTATGTTTCTAGGTTTGTCAGCACCCATACCCGTGCTCGCTGGTTTCACCAAAGCGGTAAACGTCTGAAACCTGCATCACTTCGGGCTTTCCTACCACATTAAGCTGACACGCCGTGATACTGGAAAACTGTTCACAGCGGCGTTGGACCCTACTCACCCACTCTTTCTAAATATGTTCTAGTTGTACTTAAATCGAGAAAGAAAACACAAACCATAATTATTGGATGGTATATGCAATAAAGGTCAGAAACGAAGGAATGCAATGTGTCATCATTTGTGTACGAATTTTCACTTTGCTTTACAAGACTAACCTTCTCAGATACGATGTTATCATATTGAAAATGTATTTCCTCTCACGCCAAGTCCGAGTCGTTATGGAATGGGGCCGACCATCATTCCACTTCATGAGCTATGGAAATCCGCCTCGTTAATTGTGTTTTGACCTCAATGCCATTTCTCGACTTGTGAATACCGAGTCCTCGGCATGATTGGCAGGTGTGATCGACCTGCTTTGTCGTGCAAGGCCACTCACAATCTCCTCAAGCTGGTGCTCACAGGCTGCTTAATTACTGTATGCCATTTCTGCTGATGGTTGTTAAGGCTCGACCGAAATAACCAAACCAATGCTTCATCTCAGTAAAACAGTGTTATTTTGTCTAACAATTGTCGTGATGATGTCTCTGTGTTTAGCAGTATTTATGGCGTGATAGATGCGTATGTATGTACCGGATATCCCTGCAGTGTAATGAACAATTCGAAAGGAGGGTGCTATTGATGTGAAGCACGTCAAGATGATCTGCAGGAAATCGACATTTCAAGCTGACGATATGCACATTGCGCAATTGACTCCATCTGGAAACATCATGATGCCCAAAACATAAATATGCATGTACGATGGTGTTCGTTGCTGTCAAATATGTCCTGGTAAATTGTAACTGTTAAGGATTATACAATCACCATATCACTCAGATTGCTCGGAAGCGCTTTTTTTATAAAATGCGAAACATTATTGTCAAGTAACGATATCGACAGCATGCTTCAGAAGAAGATCTCATTAAGATACTCTTTTGAAAACAAGAGATCACTAATAGGATCTGGGTTGTGTGAAACTTCATGTCTTCACTCTCATGATTCTATTACATTGGATAAAATGTCACAATGGTAGTTCAATAATCATTCAGAGTGGTCAGTGGCCTTGTTAAGGTAATCTGACAAAGAACTTATTACAGCACCCAGCAGCCGTTGGTTACTTACACTGTCATTATCACAAAGGTGTCATTTAATAATGACGTGTCAGGGGTCCGAGTATATAAAGCTTTAACATGTGCAGCCATTCTCGAAACACGTCATATGTAAAAATATAAGCAATATCAAATAGATGTGACCACATGACGAAATGGCGTTGCTTCTGGTGTACATTATCACTCCAAGGCTCACTAAGCAGCCTCTTGTATGAGGCTTTGATTCGCTATGCGATCAGAAACCGCTGATTTAAGCCCTCCTGGAGGATATATAAAAGCATGAATATGTGTGTGTGCCTGCGTGCTTGTGTAGAGAGGTGGGGTGATGTCCCCATGGCCAATCTATCATTTGAGGTTTACACAGATTCCTGTCCTTTTTTCTTACAATACATTTAAATGCATTCATCTTGTCTGGGAACCAATAGCTCTTATCAATGAGTGGCACATGGCACCTAGATTGCCTTGACTAACTGTACCCCTTAAACCTGAAGACAGTATTTGGACAACATTTGAACGGGGCTCAACATGCAGCCGCTACGCACACCGCTAGATGTAGCACACGAATCTGTCTTCATACTTTGATTAATAATACTTGACATTATGGTAAGATGCCTAGGTAGACATTTATTATCCCATAAGAAACCATCGACTGAGATCAGTGCAGGATTGAATAGAAGACCCGCGATATGAGGGATAGTAGTCTTTATTTTGCCATATTTCTCTCCAGGTAAAAATTATCCATTATTCGAAAAGTTTAAAGAGACCATATTAGCGATCGACAAAAGACCAGTCCAACCTGTCAATCACAACTGGCGCATGCCAATAAGAAGCCCGGGCGCGCTTTGAGGATTTGTCAGACCTACTTCCGGGGTCAAACGATGTCTGTGAAGCGATGTGCCTCCGGTTCGTGCTATTATCACTCGCGATATCCATCATAGATGCATAACTTCACCCAAACACATACGGGCTGGGAGAAAAATTTTGCGGAGACCTACTACTACTCGAAGGTGAGAATTTCCACGAATTTTCGCACTTTTTCACATATACATATTCAATACGAGCAAATGACAAGTAGCAAGTGAAGACTTTGCACAAGTTATAAACAAGGATAACGCTCGTAACTGCAAACTCGTTCCTTATTTAGGTTTTCTGTCGATATTGGGCCATGCATATTATTGAAATAGGACAGCCATGACAAACTGTAAACAAATACGACCGTGATCTGATTTCGGTCACTGCAGATCGAAATCGTACCATCCCTGACATTAAAGTGCACTCTGTTGGATATTTTGATCCTCTCTCCGAGATATTATTGATTTTGTCACTGATTTTTATATTTGTTTGAAAATCACAAAATTCCCAGTGGGCCTATCTAATGTTGAAAATTACTTGAGCAGTAATCATTTGTTAAGCATGGAAGTAACGAAAGAGCTTCAATTTAATTCAAGTAAGTTCTAATTAAACCATGCCTTGAGTATTTCAGTATTTTTTTATGAAGAGGCGGAACCCGGTAATGAACAACTTGATCCTTTATCTGTGAATGGATGCACCCCGTTCAAGTTAGAAAGAAAACCTAAATATGTGAGAAGAATAGTGAAATGCTTGAACATACGTTATTCACTGGTAGAGGAGGCTTATTAATATATATATACAACTATTATAAAAAACCATCGTAACAATTCATTTTAATTAATTTACTTGTAATAATAGAAAGAGTTTATTAAAGATGACATGTTCCTTTAAACGTAAACATGGTAAAGTAATGAGAAATTATAATCCAGTAATAAATAATTATTCAAATCAATCATTTAATTGATTCGATGTCAAAATCAGAATAATATGAATGATTCGTAGTACAATAACCATTTGGTACGAACTTAGCTTGTTGGCTTTTGCTACGTATAAGACATGTTTGTTTTAAATAGAATATACCTTTTTCTCTGATTTGTTAAATGAAATATATGTATTATGTTGTGATATGTCTTGTAGGCATTTGGTCTCTGATGCAATAAAACAATTACTGATTCTTAATCAGTAACAGTGATGTTGTCAACATGTAATTTAGAGATAAAAGCTTTGAGCTTATCATTGTACTTCATTTATATGTTTAGTCGTTAACAGTATGACGTTTTGGAATCATGACAATTCTTTTAAATAAAGAATAATAACTACATTTTAATTCTTGTTCTATCTCATTTCAATCAAAGTTAATTTAGCGGTTTCCTTTTACAGAAATATGGATCCGATAGTTTAGCCATACTCATTGCTTTATCTGGATCCTCTCAATATTTTCTCTTTTGTCACATACGTAAAGACTGACAGTTCATTAAGTACAATATCCTGGAAGTGTGACCAAAGATGTGTATGTACATTTAGGACTGCAAACAAAGTGCCCTTGGGACAAATTGGAAAGAAATGATTTGTTCAAAATTGGGATTTTAACTAATAATTTCCTTAAATTCTGAGTTATTATAGCATAGCATATACATGTTAAAACGTTTGAAGATGAACATTTTACTGACATTTGCAGCAGATCTGGGGATGAATATCAGCATCTGCGCAGGTGTAGATACATGACATGCCCATCACATACTCGAGATGTCCAGTTATGATTCAATTATTATATGAAAAAAAGAACTATATAGCAGAGAGGGAAAATGATTTACTGCTTTAATTTTACAAATATTCTTTTACTTTTCTTCATGAAATACACTTACTCTATTCCTTTCAGATTATGTTACGTTGTAAAGTGTTGAGGTGGGTGTCCTGTCTGAGGTTATAAATGATTCCATTGATGGGTCGCTATTCGTGGATTATTTTGGCATTTCGTGTGGTGGTGGAGGCGTGCACACTTCGAAAGACAATTGCGAATGTCTAAATGAGATAGGTAGATGGTCGTTGGAAAATGTTTTTTTAAGTTTTCGGAGTCAGAGGCAGATTGTGTACATTTTTGTGGGAAATAAAAACCTCATAAGGACCCTGATTTGGTTTTAGATGTCACTTTTATTAAAGTTGTAAAGGAGGCAAAGATCCTGGGTGTTGTTTTTGATCACCATTTGACCTTTTTGCCACACATGAAGTGTTTGAAGAATAAATGCCATGGTGGAGCCTGCAAAAACAACCTTAAACTTTTTGATACTATCCATCACCAAGGTCTGA